ATTTCCCAAGAGCGTGTCAGTAATAATCAGTTGCCTTCATTACTCTGGGTATACCATGTCTCCAACGCACCCCCTCAAGAAGAACCCCAAAAAGACTCCTCATCACCAGCACTACCCTCATCACCGCTCTGAAGCCTTCGGCCCCGATAATGCCTCTTCCGCTTCCTCATCCCCGTGTCTTCCGCCCTCCATCCCTTCCTAGCCCGGATAGGCTTCAAGAACCCATCAACATGTACCGCCCCAAACATCTCATTCTCACTCTCGACATCATCCACATCAACCGTCTGGCCAGGATGTACCCTCGCCACGTGCCTTTGCAAGTTCGCCTTCCTCCCGAACCCCTCCGCCGCCCTCTCACACCCCGCAACAGGACAGAAGAACAGTCCCACCGACGACGACCGCGACGCACTCCGCCTCCTACTCCCCGCCCTCGCCTCGGAATCGCTAGGCGCAACACTCTCCCTCCCGCGACTGCGCGCCCGCCTCTTCCGGCCCCGGGCATCCACATGATCCCCCTCGTCCTCCGAGCTCGACAACGAAACCGCGCGGTGGCGCCGCATCCCCGGGAGATAGCGCGTCCTCTGCGGCTTCGATCTCTTAGACGCCGGCCCTTCGACGAGAGTCTGCATGTCCATCCCCTGCCCGAACAGATCCGCGCACCGCTGCGCCGCGCGCGCGACGACCTCCGGTTTGAAGCCCGAGAGGGACGCCGCGCCGAGGACGTCGCTCCAGTCGCGCAGGCCCCAGTTGCCGAGCATGGCCTCGCGCGCTTTGGTCCGGGCTTCCATGCGTGCTTCGGGGGGCAGGTCGCGCTTTTTGCGGGGAGATCTGGCGGGGGATTTTGGTGTTGGACGGCGCTTTTCAGGGCTCATGTCTTCATCGTCGGCGTCGTTTTCATGTATGGCCGCAATATTATCCATGTTGGCGTTATTATCCTCCGCATCAGACGCGGCTGGAATCTTCTTCTTCTGCGCCCTCGCAATCCGAATCACCATCTCCCTCTCCGTCTCCCCCGGCAACGGCGTCTGGACCTTCCTCGGGCGTCCCTTTCCCCTCTTGCCAGAGGCGCTGCGCTCCGGCTCCGGCGTGCGCGGTTCCGGTGTGCGCGGCGGCGCCTGACTCCGCGAACGGCTTCGCTTCCCGCCTTTCCTCGACGGCGTGCGCGACCGAGACCGCCGGGAGACGGCACTGTCGGAGCCCTCCGCATCGGAGAGGTCTGTCGCCGAGGCGGAGGAGTCGGTCATGTAGCTCAAGCCCGCCAGACGGGCGTTGTGCAGGGTCGTCAGGGTGTTGTCCATCACGGTCAGGATGTGTCTGACGGACGGCCGGAGGAGGTCTGCGGAGAGGTCGTCGTTGGCGGAGACGACTGCTTCGTACGTCTTTGTTCGTTGAGTCTGTGGCTGTTTCTCAGCTGGTTCTGGTTGTGACTCATCTTCCGCGGGTGGTTTGAAGTCGTCCTCGTCGTCTGAGGTGACGCCTGACATCGTTGCCGCCGATTGCGATGTCGCGGCGGCGGCGTGCTGTGCAGCGGCCTCTTTCCGCCTGTATTTTTCCTGCCGTTGGTAGAAGCGTTCCTTGGCCTGTCTTAGAATTGTGGCCGTGAGCTCGTCCTCCAGGGCGGTGCTGGGCATCTGAGGCGCATTGGACCGAATCGTGAACTCGTCGTCTTCGTCATGCGTCTGCTTCAGGAAGTCGTCGCCAGGTACTGTCTGCGTGTTCATTGGCCAGGCAGTCCACGGGTTTGGCGGGCGCCAGTCGCTAGCATCCACAATCTCCTCAAGCGGTCTATCCGCGTCCTGTGAATATTGGATCAGCAGCTGGTCGGTACCTTGGAAGGCGGCTGCCACTCACCTCTGCGTCGGGCTCTGCTGCACCCGCCCGGGTCTCACGATTCTTCAGCGCAAACGCATTGTACAGGTGAACCGACAGGTCGCGGTTGCGGATTTCTTCGAGCGATTTGTAAATGAGGCGCTCCTCCTGCGTGTAAACGTGCCATGTCGCTTTGCTGCCCTTCCAGCGGTTGGGTCTGGTCTCGTACAGTTCTTCCGAATCGATTGAGCGGATCTCATCGGTGTCGAGGTCCCACTGTTCCTCGTTGGCCGTCATGATGGCATATCATAGAACAAAGCAAGAAGTTTTAATCAGATGCCATTAAGTATAGGGTTTTCTCGTTGGCGATGACAAGAAAGTGTGTTTTGCAGGCAGGATCGTTGATCGCAAGTGTGTAAAAGTGAGGTGAAGAAGGGAAAAAGTTGGGCCCGCCCACATCACACCGAAACTCACCGAAACTCACCGAAAATCAAGCAAAGTTCTCTCACAGCAAGGCAACAAATCGCACCATACAACTAGGCATCATCAGAAGCGCTTTATTTCATGTCAGAGTCACAAACGCAAGAGCAGTCAAATGTATATCAAGCAATTGCATTTCTTTTCCCAACACCACAATTATGGTATAACGAACGCCAACTACATACAGTCTACATCAGGAAAAAACAAGAAACTGATTCTTTTTTTACGCCTTCGCCTTCTTGTTCAGCTGCTTCTCCAGCTTTCTCCTCTTGGACCTCAGCTTCTCGTCCTCGGCGCTCTTCTTGTTATTAGTGTACTGCATCTGCTCAAACAGCTTCCTCTTCTTCTTGCTGAGCATGCCCTTGGCGCGCTCAATGTCCTCGGCCTCCTCGGCCACCTTCTTGGCGTGCGCCTTGCGCGCCGCCTCCTTCTTGGTCTTGGGCTTCGTCTCCCTGCGCTTGACGCTGCCGCCGGCGAGCTCGGCCTCGAGCTCGATCTGGCGCTGCACCTCCTCGTCGTCGGACAGCTCCTCGTCCTCGTCCGCAGAGGCGGCCTCGTCGTCATCGTCACTCTCCTCTTCTTCGTCCTCGGACCCGGCAACGTCCATGTCGTTGTCGGCATCCTCCTCGTCGACGTCCATCTCGCCGTCGTCCTCGCTCTCGGCAAGGGCCTCGCCTTCGGGCTCCTGCTCCTCGAGGGGGATGGTGGGGTCGTAGGCGCCCTGGACCTGTCTGACAAAGGGGCTGAGATGGGGCGGCAGCTGCGCGCCGGGGGCGTACTGGTCCGCGGGCTTCACCTCCTCGTCGTTGACGCTGTCCCAGACCCACTGAGGCTGGACGTATATCCTGCCGGGGATGCGCTGGTTGGGTGCGAGCTTCTGGGCTGTCTGGTTGTCTTCTCCGTCGCCTCCCTCGTTTTGCGCAGCGTAGATCTGGGGACGGTCGACAATCTGGTGGGTGATGGTGGGGTCGCGCTCGTTGGTCGTGAAGGCGCCCTCGCCGAGGACGGCGTCCCAGCCGATGCGCTTGCAGCCGAAGGAGCGCAGGAGGAACTCGAGAGGTTGTCTCGGGGTCTCACGGGAGAGGAAGAAGGTGCAGTTGGCGAAGAGCTTGCCACGGTCGGAGCTGGAGTACTCGGGCTGGGGGAGGACGTCGCCACCGGGGGCGGCGGGCTCGAACTTGTCGATGGCGTCGGTGGACTCCTCGGTAGACTCGGCCTTCTCCTCCGTCTTCTCGTCGTCGACGTCGGTGTCCTTGAGCTTCTTGATAACCTTGTTCACGGCAGCCTGCGTCTTGGGGTCGACGTGGTGCTCCTCTCCGTTGGCGATCTGCTTCTGCTCGGCGACAGCGCGGTTCTGGCCCTCGATAGTGAAGGCGCCGAGCTCCGCAGAATTGTCGTCCATGTTCTTGTCGAACTTGGGAGGGTACTTGAGGCCGATTGAGGTGTACAGGCGGAAGTTGATGAAACCCAGGAGGGTCATGTAGAACTCGACGAAGGTGCCCATGATGCGGAAATCGACGTCGCCAACAACCCTCTGGTTAAACTTGTAAGGGACCAGCCACAAGACATCCTCGCCCTGAATGTTCGCCTGGTAGTAGATGCCCTTGATCGAGAGGAAAGACTTGGTGACGGCCTGCGAAACGATCAGGTAGTGCTGGAACTCGAGCGTCAGGCGCTCGCAGCGCGCAATCATCTTGGCCGGGACAGACGAGGACGAAGGCAGGTTGGCGAACAGGAAGAGCATGGAAAGGCAGTCGTCGAGATCGCGAATGGCGTCGACAAAGGTAGGGTAGCGCTCGCGGATGACGTGGTCGAGGGTGTATCTCGGCTTGCCCGTCTCCTCGGGGCGGGCGGCGTTCTTCTCGAGCCTCTTCGCATCGCCGACATCGCCACGGCCGAGGGCGCGCGAGATCTTCTTCTCGAGGGCCTTCTGGTCGCGGAACTTCTGGAGCAGCGGCTCGTGCAGGAGGTACTGGATGTCCTTGGCGTAGTAGAAGGTGGTGGAGGCGGTGGAGGACTTGGAGACCTTCTTCTTGCTGCGCGGCTCGCGAGGGTAGATTCCCTTCCAGATGCAGAGCTTGCGGAAATCAGGCAGGCTGATCTGCAGCTTGCGGATGGCCTGGTTTCTGGTAACGTAGTTCTTGGCCGCTCCGGCCTGTCCCTTCTTCTTGATCCTGGGCATCTTGGCGGTTGGTGGTCGTCAAAGTTGGGTGGGAAAAGAAAAAGGGTGGTGGTGGTGGTTGGACGGTTCAGAAGCTATCAAAACTTCCTGTCGTAGCGGGGCACCAGTTCTCGACTCTCTGAACTTTTTTTCCATTGATTTTTTTCTGCCGGGAGTTCACCGCCTTGATGAGGTCTAGGGAGGGACTAGCGCAGATCCAGAAGGATGCTCATTGGGCGCTGCTATCTAATCGGTGGAACGGCCCCAGCTCCAGGGGTTCAACCCACTAATACCAGGGCGACCGCGCTGAAGCCGAGGCCGTCATTCGCTGAGCGCGCAGCGGACCAGTGCCCCGGACCAGCCAGGTGTCATCCCCGTCCCATCCAATTGTCCATCCCGACTCACAGATCCCGTTCGGCTCGTCATCCGCAAACCTCAAGCTCCGCGCGCCGCCGCATCGTCACCACGCGCAACACCCCCTCGGCCCCTCTCTTCCACCCGCCCTTCCGCCTCCCGCCGGGTCATGGACTGAACAATGACTGCTGGCACAATGAATCAGGGAGGCAACAAGACGGGCGTCTACGCCGCAGCAGCTGCGCTGCGTCTGCTGCTCTTCGTTGCGTTCCCCGGTCTGCCTGACCTGCTTACCGGCCGCGTCGAGATCTCGACTCCCGTCACGAGCTTCAAGAGACGTAGGTCCCCCTCTGTTTGCGTCTATACTTCACTTGCTGACCCTGCCCCGTGTACAGTTCAAGAAGGCCTCTTCCTCTACAACCACAACGTCTCCCCGTACGACGGCGGCGTCTACCACCAAGCGCCCCTCTTCCTCCCCCTCTTCTCCCTCCTCCCGGACCCGAAGTCCTTCCCGATCTTCACCTACATCCTCTACGTCCTCTTCGACATTCTCAGCGCCGATGCTCTCTCCAAGATCGCAGACTCAGGCGAGGCCGGGACCTCGCGTCTCTTCACCTCTCCGCGCCGCAGCAAGCGTTGGAGCGGCCTCGTCGTCGCATCACTGTAAGCCAACCTCCCCCCTATCCCCTCCCACCAGCCCTCCCCGCTGACCATTCTCCCTCCAGCTACCTCTTCAACCCCTTCACGATAGCAACCTGCATCGGCCGTTCCACCTCCATCTTCTCAACCTGCGCAATCCTCCACGCCATCGCGAAAGCCATCTCCGGCGCCCCCCTCGGCGCAATGGTCGCCCTCTCCTTCGCGACCTACCTCTCAATGTACCCCCTCCTCCTCCTCCCGCCGCTGCTCCTCCTCGCCTACGACCGCCAGGACCCCGCCCGCCGGATCGCCTCGACCTCGCACTTCGCCCTCGCAAACACGGGCGTCGTCGCCGCCGTCCTCGGCGCCCTCTTCCTCATGTCCTTCCTCCTCACCGGCGCCTCCTGGGAGTTCCTCTCCAGCACCTACGGCGCCCAGCTCACCCTCAACGACCTGACCCCCAACGTCGGCCTGTGGTGGTACTTCTTCATCGAGATGTTCGACTCCTTCCGCTCCTTCTTCCTCGCCGTCTTCTGGCTCCACCTCTCGAGCTACGTCCTGCCCCTGACCATCCGCATCCGCTCCCAGCCCCTCGTCGTCCTCACCCTGCTCCTCGGCATCTTCGCCATCTTCAAGCCCTACCCCTCCATCGCCGACACGAGCCTCTTCCTCGCGATGCTGCCGCTCTTCCGCCACATCTTCCCCCTGATGCGGTACACCTTCGTCGGCGCCGCGACAATCATGTACGCCTCCTTCCTCGGCCCGGCGTTCTACCACCTGTGGATCTACGCCGGCAGCGGCAACGCGAATTTCTTCTACGCCATCACGCTTGTTTGGAGTCTGGGCCAGAGTCTGCTCGTCAGCGACCTGACGTTTGCGGTGCTGCGCGACGAGTGGGAGGTGGAGCGGCCCGACATGGTGGGCAAGGAGATTCGGCAGATCTAGGCTGTAGGAGTGGGCTTCCTTTGATATCCCCCTGTTAGAGATACATGTGTACGATGGTTTTCTGGAACTGCATTGGTAGCATTAAAAGGTCGGATCACGGACGGGAACGATGACATGTCCAAAATAATCGAGACAGCATTATACAGTTTTATATCATGAGACTCGTTGATGCCTCTGCACTCGTGTCCTCTATCGTACTTTTGAGTTGCGTTTTATGCCCTTTTACCGGGCCTTACCGTGGCCCAACCGAACCTGAACCCATCCATAACCACACCATGCCTTAATCGACACTCAGCTCCTGCTCAACCACCCTGTGCTCATCCCCGCCTCCCCATCCCGCCGCCGGACTCGCCCTCGGCGCATCCGCAAGCCCAAACGAGAAATCCAACATGGCGCCCAGCTCCCCAAACCGCCGCAGGCCGCCCTTCTCCGCATCCCACGACATCGTCCGCGCGCCCCACGGTGGCAGACTGCGGTACGTCCACACCCCGTACGCGATCGCCGTCCCCGCGGCCAGCACACCGCTCGCAAGCGCAACCGTCCTCCTGTCCGCGATGCCCGCGGCCTTCGTCTCCGCGCGGCGGCGCCACTCGCCGAGGTAGAACTCGCCCAGGTTCGGTGTGTGCTGCACGACGGTGTCGAGCAGGCGCGCAGCGGTGCGGAGGGCCGACGGAGGGACCGGGGCCCACGAGAAGGCGCCGGGGCGGGCAAGGCATTCCTCGCGCAGGCAGCGGACCATCTCGTTCAGGTGGGGGAACTTCTTTGCGAAGATGGAGAGGAGCCAGGCCTCGGGGGCGGCGACGGCTTGCACGAGCACGAGGTGCCCGAAGACGAGGCAGTCGAGAGATGTTGGGGCGTCGCCGCCGAAGAAGTGCATCTTCCCGCCCTTGGTGGGCTCCCCTTTCGCCCGCTGCTCCTCCAGCGGGGCGAGCGCGTCGACGGTGACGGCGTGCAGCCTGATCCCCCTCGCCGTGCGCGCCCTCATCTCCTCCATGACGCCCTTCTGTCCGCTCACGGGGAGGTGCTTCATCGCGCGGTCTAGCGTGCCCTGCCCCGATGAGCCGGCCTTGATACCGCCGTCTTCGTCAGCGTCATCGTCGTCCTCCCCGAGGCTGCCGAAGCCGAGGTGGGCGCTACGCGCCTCGGCCCCCTGGCGGAACAAGACCGGGACGGTCCAGCTCAGGGGGAACCCGAGGATCTGGCTAAGGGCGGGGCGCGTGACGGCGGCCCAGTTGTCGTGGTCTGCGTAGAGGTAGGCGTCGAGCAGGGGCGCGAGGTGTACGTCGACGTGGGCGGCGAGGGCAAGGGCGTCGGCGCGCTCGGACGGCGTCAGGCGGGAGTCGAGGTCGAGGGAGTGAGTGGTGCGCAGGTGAGATACGATGGAGGCGTAGCCCGTCACCCAGACGCCGTTTGCGTGGAGGGCCGGCAGGCGGTCTAGAGGGTGGCCGTTAGCTTCTGGCTGTTTCGTTTCGTGTTGTTTCCTTTCTGCATTGTGCCTGGGTCTCTTTGTCTGGGGATGGGCAGTTGTTTGGGGTTCTTTGTCTGCAGGGCTGTTGTGGACACGAGGTCGCGTGGGTTCAACGGTGTAAGCCTCGTGAGGCTCCGCTGGTAAGGGGACTTGGCCTCGTGAGGGCAGAGGGGTGAGTGTGAAAAGCGTGGGATGAAGGGGGCGTGGAAGGGAAGTATGACGCGGATGTCGATGTGAGTCAGGGTGGGAGGGTGTTGGTGTAAGTGAGATACAAGCCTCACTTGTCACTTACTTGATGTGTCGACGGCAGGGTCATTGCTCGGGACAAGACGCCATTCGGAGCTTGGGAGAGCGGTGTGAAGGTATGCGATGGCGGCGAGGCACTCGGCGTCGACGGAGGGGAGACCGAAAGCCGGGCCCCAAACGTGGAGTTCTAGAGGCTCCATCGTGATGGCGTGTGTGAGTGACGTGAGGCGCGTGTGCGTGAGTGAGCCGTGAAAATGAATGAGTGACGGGGGCCACTACCAGGGGAATGCGCCGGCCGAGCGCTTAATTCCAGGTATCCAATTCACGCTGACTGGGGCTCCCTCAAGACCCTGATCACCAAGATGGGTAGCGTCCTAAGCGCCAGGGAGGAAACGATTGGGCTCGAGAATGACGGTGAATTGACGATGGAGGCGTCAAAGCTTGCCCGATGAGTCAACAGTCAGGCACTCACTCTGACGAGACGAATGGCAGATCAGCGCTTGTTTCGAAGAATCCAGCGTTTCGGCACGCCGTCGATAGAACACGGACTTCCCTCAGTGATGATCGTGACGTTTACGATGGGCGCGACAGGAAAACAGGGTCCTTCTTCGCTCCATCCGCTGACGCAGCAGGCGCCGATGATCACCCCTGTCCGAGCTTTGAACGAAACGTGAAGTGAAGTTGCGAGCGCTCCACGAGGAATGAGGCACGTGACGATAAGGCGATAAGGTTGCCGCCGACAGGGAGATCTTGCTTTGCTTTCTCGGCTCGTCGGGTTGATCAGACGGGGGTCGTGGTGGTGGTGGAACCCAGCAAGAGACACTGGAGAGTGGAAAAAAGAACGGCTTTCCATATTTGGACAGACCTGCTGCCATCTGCAACGCAACCTACATTACCTTAGGTACACTAAAGCAACCGCACCACACCCCTGACGATCCGGTTCAAACGTCAAGGGAAGGGGCGGAAAAAGAGGCCTTCCTCTCTAATGAAGTCCAAAACACGCCGGCCGTGTGGCGACGCTTTCAGAACAGCAAGATCATCGGGCCACGTTGAGGCCATTGACGGGCGCGCATGCCGTCCTCGATGAACCGACGACGTTTTCCGTTCCTGCATAAACGGCGGCCTCTTTAGGAAGTTTGACCTAAACGCTCTGCGTCCATTTCAAAGAACCCAGAAAGTCTCCACGAGATTAAAGACTTTGTTGATGCATGGTCGTACACGCGTTGCACACGCCCAGCAGCTTTTCGCCACTGGCGCCAGGAACCAACGACAGCAGCATGCAATCTAATTTCGTCTGAATTCCAGACGCACCAGAAACGAACAAACGGGGTGGGAAAACAGATTTGATGACGCCACGCCACCCGCGCAGAGGCAACGTTGAAGAACACCGCCCCTGTTTCACACAGATTCAAACACACGGCTCGTCAAGTGGGGGGTTCTTCGATACAGCAGCTGTTGGTCGCGGAATTTTCTCCACGGGTAGCGGCTTAATCAATCTGGTTACCCTTTCTGGGGAAGCACCGATCAAAGGTGTCACTTTGATGGCCCGGAGACAAGGGAGAGAGAGAGAGGGATGAACCTCAATTGAACAGCGCCCATGTCCTCGTCTCACCCGTCTCTGGGCGTGGATACAGATAAACGACAGTCCTTAGCTGTGCCGTCTAAACCACTGCCCCCATCTCCTCTCTCTCACGCCCACCTCACGAAAGGGAGAGATGACTCTTTAACTCGTCCCGTAGTACAGGTAACCGACTGGACGGCACTTTGAAGCCTCGCTCGCACAGCCGTTCGTGGCGGCCCCCCGATTTAGATTACGACGTACACGCCATGCTGCTAGCAACGGGCGGCAGAAAAAAGGGGGATAAATCAAGAAAGGAGGTAAATAACGTTTTGGACCACGACGACACCGAAGACGACGACAGCTGAGCTCTACTAAACTGCTGCGAATGCACTACAGATACACACTACTTGCACCTTCGCATCGTGGCGGGTGGATCCCTCGCATCCCATCCCATCAATCCACGTCCACGACTCCTTGCGCGTTGCCGCACCACGTTGACGGGTTCCGCCCACGGCGGCTCCGTACCGGGCGGCGGCGACGGCGCGGCGCAGCGACCTGAGTTGAAGAATAAAAAACGGAGCCCACCAATGCAGCTATTGCTGCGTGTATGCATGCTACTGCGCTGCACTCTCCCTCTGCTGAAGCCGCAATTTAATTTCACCGTCATGCTATTCTTCCCCCTTTTTTTTTTTTTTTTTTTTTTTTTTTGGCCTTCGCTACGGTCTTAGCTTCTATGCGCCGTTACGGGGGAAAAGAGGGAGAGAGACCCTTTCTGTAAACGACAGACGACGGCGTCGACAAGATACGTCTGTGTACCATGAACCGACTACTTTAGCAACACCAGCAATTTAGGGGTCCAAATTTGATGGGGGCGTGTGCGAGACTTGACTCTCTCATCCCTTGGGTTATTCCCTTTTTTTGCCATTGGCCCTCTAGATGCGTTTCGTCTGTCCGTTTTGGCTCCCCTCTGAGCCTCAATTCTCACCGACGGACACCGAAATGGTAAAGTGCAGCAAAACAAAAAGAAACAAGGGGCCATTGGGGTCCTTTTCTTCAGTAGGTTGTTAAGTCTACACCCATCGAAACGGAGAGCGAAGGTGGAGGTGGGGGGAGGAAGAAGAACCGCCGCCGAAATATTTGGCGAGAGTGATGCTGGTTACATGCGCATCGTGGGGTCCTTTATTTTTCTTCTTCCTGTTCCCTTTTGGGGGCCTTCTTCAGCTGGGGGTGTGGGCAAGGCCACGGCCAAGGCAAGGCAAGGTAACGATAACGGAGAGTGTTGTAATTGCTACACAATGAGCGGTTGCGGTGTGTGTTGGTTGCTCTTCAGCTCGCCCTGGGCAGCGAGTGTGGGCACACACCAAGTTCCAACACCGGAAGAGGAAAAAAAAAAAAAAAAAAAAAAAAAAAAAAAAAAAAAAAAAAAAAGAGGAAACGGAATCTCGGATGCGACGGAAACTCATCAAGCCCCCGACGATACCTACCTTACCTACCTACATCATACACCCACCGAGAAAACCATTAAATCCAACAGCCGCGCATCGCGGGCCTTGTCGCCGCCGCCCGCATGCTGCCCAAAGCCGAGGGAACAACACCAGCAACAACATCCACCCCCGGTAAATCGCCAACCTTTTTCTGTCCCTCCCGGCCCGGCCCCCCTCTCCCAATGTGCACGAACATGTGTGGTGTTTGTCTGGCGTGCCCTGCCAAAACCCTTGCTTACGCGAGATGAGCACGATGCCAGTGTGCCCTCGCCGCCTCGCCGAAATCTGCTGTGAGAGAATTTGAGTGAGCACGCAAAGGAAAAGGGAAAAAGGGCCCGCGGCAAATGCCAAATCCATCCCAATACTACCCGCTTTGCTTGTCGCTACGGCTCTGCCCGTCATGCGCCCTACCCGCTCTCCCAAATCCCTCCCCCGTCCAACCCACCCACCCTTGCCTGCTGCTTTCTTGCGCTTTCACGCCGTTGGCGCAACCACTCTCCATCTCCTGCCCGAGGTTTTTTTCTGTGAATGTCGCGAGGAGGAAGCACCGAGGACGGGTAAAGATCTCAGATGATCTTCCCTTTTACCCACACACAGCTGCACACCGCACACGCACGCACTTGCACTTGCACTTGCACCCCCCCTCGGTATCGATTCGCCAGACCGGCGGTATCAAGTTGACGATGACGCATGACGCTACCCGGTCTGCCACTCTGCCAGTCTGCTCTTCTTTTTCCGTAAACACGCCAGATTGTCCGTGGAGCAGCAGCAGCACCACACCGTGATAATCGTCATGTATGAACCATGACAGCCCGCAAATGTGATTGTGATGCCGAAAGTTGGGCGTCTGCGACGAGTAAGTCGCGGAAATCAAGCCGTCGTGTGGAGTTTTCTTGCGTCCTACCCCGGCCTGCCGCCCCCCGAGCCGATGTTCGATAAACAGCAACGGTCATTGTCCGTGGTTACGGTCGTGCTGTCGTGTTTGCGTGATGGGTGATGGGTGATAACCTTGGATCGTGCGGTTCGGGTCGGTTATGCGTGGCCTACCTAACCCAGTCCCCCTCCATCCATCCCCCCCTCAAACCCCGGGACCCAAAGGAAAAGTCAGCAACAGAAACCTGCAGATAGGGCTCTCACGGAACGAGAGAGAGGAAAATCAAACAATAACACCGCAAAGCGAAGCAAAAGGAAAATGGCGGTCGGCCCATTGGGCCGCTGCGACGTTGCCAACAACCATGCGCATGGCCCCCCCATGTAGCTCTCTGTAGCCGTAGCCCGCAGGCCACCACCACCACCACCCCCAAAAAGATGCTGCAGGTGTGTGTTAGCTCAGGCAGGCTGAGGGATTGAAGAGGAGGGGGAAAACACACGAGATTTGATTGATCGGCCCAGGGAGATTCAGGAACCCCGCGTCTGGGCCCGGTGTTCGTTGCGGCAGGCACGGAGGCTGGGAGGCTGGGGGACGCTGCTTGTCTGGAACCTGGCATGAGGGTCGAATGGTTCGCTCACGCCATCTGTTGTCTCACAGCAGCGAGGGGGCCTCGCTTCCCGTCTCGCAAGTCGGCCCAGAGCAGCGAGCCGCATCTGTTTACCCCATGGGCATATCATACGCTGACAGGTTTCCTAGCTGCTTGTCGAGGTCAGAGCTCATTTTTCTTCACACAAGGCGAACGAGGAGCGAGATAGTCATGTTGGTTTGGATGAATTATTTGTGTGGTATTATGAAAGCTTTCTCTCATCTAGATTGTGGTCTTTGATGTAGTAGAAATGTGAAAGAACTCCGAATCTTTCCCCCAGATTTTTTGATGCAAAACCCAAAAAGAGAACTTTCGCTCGTTACTTTCCGTCGAATCCATCCATCTCTCTGAGAAAGGGAAGGGGGGTATCGGCGACGACAAAGTGGAAAAGAAATAAAAACTGGAAGGGGCTTCTGTGAACTCCTTCCCTCCCGAGTTGCCCCGTTACAATGCTGATGTCTATTGATACATGATGGTTGGTGATGATGATGATGATGAGGGATGACGTTTCAAGTTGTATCCTGGTCCCGTGATGATGCTTCGCTCGTTCCGTTGGTAGGTCATTGATTAAAAGATTGGTTGTGGTTGTGGTGGTACAATGGTTGTAGTAGAGAGTTGGTTGGAATATTGCTCAGAAGCAATCAATGACGAAGCCAAGGTAGAAGAGAAGCGATTCTGTGACCGGCACGAAAAGAGGGTAGGAAGAATAGATAGAGAAGGGCGTTGCCCACTCAGGAGACAGGCTGCGACCTCGTGATCGCGGCGGACGTTATCGTGATGCAGAGATGATGATTGTCGGCCCTCGAGAGGGAGGGGTCGGCTGCAATAGTCCGGCGCGGTTCAAATCGAGGGCGGCTGAGAGAGAAGTTGGAATTCCTCCGTCCGAGCGGGTGTGGGTGGTGTGGGTTTGTGGTTGTAGGTGGTGGTCGACCGTGCATGGCCAGCACATGGAGATGGCGTGCATATCCGAAGAGATGTTTGGTAATCCTGATTTTCCATGCGGGCTGCCAAAATGGGCCGGCTTGTTGAAGAGGTGGTGGTCATGTTCGTTCGCAATTCATGTCCTGACATGTGCGGGAGGCTGTCCTGACTGTCCGACTGCGAAGACACCGGTGGGTTTGTTGAACTCATTGCTCTAGTGAGCTGATTGAGTGTTCCGAAATACGAGAGAAGTCGTCATTGTCGGTTTGGTTGCGAGGCTGTCGCCGCCCAGGCAACTCTTTAACCTCTGGTGGGCAGAGGAGGAAGAGGGCGCTGAGGCGGGGGGCCGGGGCAGGGAGGAAGTTGCGAGGGGCGCTGAGCAGGCATGTTGAAGTCGAGAGCGGAGGAAGCCATAAAGCTGGTGGTGATGTTTGTTGGTGGTTGTGGTTGGTAAGGCTGTCTAAGTGAAGCCTTGGTGTTGTTGTGGTGGTGGTTGCGAAGAAGAAGCCGTTGAGGAGAGACAAAGAGTCTTGTTTGGTAGATGGAAGGTCTTGAGAGGTTATATGTAGAGTAAACGGTTTGGTTTGGCTTGCGAGTAGAGTCGTCTGAATTGGTGATGGTCGATGGTGATCTGGTTGAGATTCTTCGACAGACGATGCTAGGGGGGGAGTCGGGTGCCTTATGTATCTACGGATGCGGCCATGGGGAGGACATTTTGGCTGGCGGTGCCTGTTTGCAGAGCGAGCTGTCCGAGACTCTGCAATTTTGGAACAGCCAGAAACCTTGCAAGGGTTAGCCCAGCTTGACCTTGGATCGGGCACTGGTGTCTCTCTTGGAGCGGACCAGGGGGGGAGGGGGGGGGGTGCGAGGGCGGTGGGTGTCCAGGGGTCAGAAAGGGGGGGGTGTTGTGTGGTGTGTGGTTAAAGTGAAGGTGAAGAAAGGAATTCTGCTTCTTGGTGCAAAATACCGTAGGGGACGAAATACGTCAGTACTTTGGCCCCTTGTACCTGACACTGACACTGCCAAATTTAAAGCTTGCCCTGGGGCGAGCGTCCGTCTGGTGTGTGGTCGCTGTGGTGGTGGGTGGTGGGGTGCGGACGTGGACTGGGACGCGGACGGGGACGGAGACGCGGTGGGTGTGTGCGGTAACTTACGGTTTGCGGTGCCTGGCATTACGGTAGGGAGACGCAGGTGGTGTTGTGATGAGTGTGTGCCTGTGCCTGTGCCTGTGTCCTGGTCCTGTGCCTGAGTCTGAGCCTTGGGAGGGGGTGGGCGCCTCCGTCAGCCCCTCCCGTAATCCGCACTTTCCCATCTTTGCTCGTACGAAGAACTGAGTACCTACCATACCTTACGGTGCTGTCGCCGGGACGGTGGGGGCCACCTCAGCTGGGCTTGTCCCCTGCCAAAACGCTGAAACCCAGACGCTAACCCGAACACGGTCTTGTCATTCAACCGTTTTACTCCGCCGCACCGTTTCGTCCCATTTCGTACGCTCCGTCTACCCTCTGGCGGTGACGCAGTGCCAGAGTCACCGTGGGGCTTGACCGCCGCAACGCAAGGAAATGAAACAAGCCCGCGCACCAGGGGGGGCCCCCCTTGTCCAGAGCATGTGCTGCCCCTGTCACACCAGCCCAGGCCTTGGCACCACCGTATCCACCAGAATCTCGCGGTCATCTCCAGCATATTTCCAGAAAACGGCAGATGGTCATGCTCCTGCTGCTGCCCTGCTGCTGCTGCTGCCGTACTCCGTACCGCCCGCACCGTTCAGATCGACGTGCATACGTATCCGTAGGGCCAAAGAAAGGAGAACCGATTCGGCACCTCCGTATGGTTCAATCTCAAACCGTCTGGGAGATTGCGACGCTCACCTTACCCGTAGAGTAAAGTACCTTACGGATACTATGCAGTAGTTGCCTTTCACCGCTCAAACCCACCACCCCCAAACACAGCGGGCAGAGCAGCAGCAGCAGCAGCAGTAGCAGTGAGCACGCAACCCACAGTCCGATCAGAGCTCCCATTTCTCTGCGACCATCTTCAGACGATTCATCAATCAACCGGCAACACGGCCGCACACAAAGCCAATATTTTTGAGTTGACGACAACGAATACTCGCCGTGCGTGTCAGAGTAAGAGCCAACAGCGCACGTATGCGCGCTGACAACCACCACCACCACCACCACACAACCCTCCCCTCCCTCTCCGCCTAATCATCCCGCTGCTCTCTTTCCCTTTCAGGCCCCCGAGGGAAAGGGAGGCAGGGAGGGCGGCCGTAAACTTCAAAGCGGTGCCTGGCTAGTTGTCAAAAGGTTGAATAAGCTCTGTTCAACCTTTGCAACTTCGGACAAAAGGCCCCCCCAATCCAAACGCGTACGCCATTTGACATTCAAACTTCTGCCTGAGAGCCGCCTGCCGCTGCCGGAGCGTACCTAAAAATTGTCCTGTCCAAACTGAAAGTACCAATTTGGGAATTCTCATCGTCAAAGGAAATAGAATACACCAGACGATCTGTGACGACGTTGATGTGTGCCACTCCCGCGCAATCCCGTCCTCCCGGCCGATGGTCCATAGCATAGCCCCCCGTTCGAGCCGTCCGTTACGGCCGTAGCCCTTTCACCAAAGCTCTACGGAAACTTTATGATATTTGACGACGACTAAAACACCAAGATGTCTGCAAACGGCCATCTGTACAGAAGATCCCCGGGCTCCCATCATTGCGGGCCTCTGACCTCCGAGATGCCGCAGTCTTCCGGCCGCGCATCTTCGCGTCGTACAAGGCTAATGTACCGGCCGTCAACGTTGCCTTCGAATGGAAGGCTACCTACCCATCGACGCTGCTAAATTTGATGTGCTCTCCAGGGGCCTCACTCTCACCTCAACAGCGCCCGCGTATTGCCGCTACTGCACAGCTGCGCCCCCAGCCTGATGCTGACCTTACCTCACTTCAGGGTGCGAAATAGGTACTGTAGCCTGCGCGGCCCTGTCCTCTGTCCCCTGGCTGCTTCTGTTGTTGAGGTAGCCCACCCAGGGTCGCAGACACAGTAAGCTGAGGCCTGGGGGTCGCAACGTACGATTTCTCCAGGCTAGCCACGACTTCAGGCTGTCCGGGGGCCTTCGCATAGCGGGCAGAGCATCATCATCAAATTAGAAAATCTGCCTGTCATCAAGCGCCGTCCCAGGGTTCGGAGTGGGAGCAAATCGTATCTTGCATCGGACCAGGCTGAAAGGGCAGGGCAAGGGCACATGGGGCAGGCCAACAAGGGGACTCTCTCATCGCCAGCATCGAAATCGGGAATAATGAAGCGAACGAACCGAGGAAATCGCCCAGGGTTCGGATTATCAACCACCAGCAAATTGATAACATCGAGGCCGCGGACCCGCAGTACCGTCGTCGCCTCTTTGAAGAGCAGCTCCTCGACATGGAGAAGGGGAAATTGGGATCTCGCTAGAGGACAAAAAAGGCTGGAGTCCTTGAAGAAGGGGAGCAAGGGGGAAGGGAAGGGGGCGTGCAAATGCGAGTGGTTCCGCTTTGCTTCCCTCAATCCCCTGCATAGAACGTTTGGAAGCTCTCATGGAAAAAAAAATACGTGGAACTCGTCGACCGCCTCCCATCCCCAATTTTTGCGCGGCCTCCATCATTGTTAATTTCCCACATCTCAAGCGGTCTCCAGCCCCCAAAAAGAAGCCAGCCAGCCCAGGATTTGTTGGGTTGATCTTGCTCCCCCCCCCAGCCAGCCAACCCGCAAATTCAGGGCCCCCAGGGGTCTGTATGAAGTGTCTGTGTGAGAATCTGGTGGCTGCTTTTCCATTTGCTCCAGTGGATTCCGAGAAGAAGCGGTGTCAGTGCTGGGCTGGTCACGATGCCTTATTTTCCGGATTTTCATTCACACTTTCCAAGCCGAGCTAAGCATGGGAAAAAATTTTGTGCAAACTTTTTTTTCTTCTTCCTCTTCCGTACACCATCCCAATCTGTTTTCACAAATCTCCGTCGCAATTTCACAGTTGCAAATCTTCTTCGTTGCCATGACTAACGTTTGTTGGTATGCTTAATC